CATTGATTATCATCCATCCATCCATCCATCCATCCATCCATCCATCCTCATCATCATCCATCCATCCTCATTATCATCAATCCATCCATCATCCATACATCCATCATTATCCTCATCATCATAATCATCATCTGTCCTTCCATCCATTGATTATCATCCATCCATCCATCCATCCATCCATCCATCCATCCTCATCATCATCCATCCATCCTCATTATCATCCATCCATCCATCCATCCATCCATCCATCCATCCATCCATCCATCCATCCATCCATCCATAGGTTACTTTCAAATACTTTTTTTTCATGAAGTTTTGCAAAATTTTAATTCAGGAAAGCCTCTTTTCCAAATTTGTATTTACAAATTGTCCTTTTTTTCAAATTTCTACAAAACGTGCTTTTTGCCTGCAATGATAATGGAACAATATTCACTCTTTAGAAAAAAAGGAGCCTTGGTGTGTGAGTGCATAATCTGGTTTCAAGGTTCCACACCATTACTGCTACAGGACAGATCTGTTAGGTCTGTTTTATTATCACTTCAGAAATACAGGCCATGACACTTTTCTAAAAGTCCTTAATAATTGCCAATGTGCGCTAACGAATCAAAAAAAGTCCATAAAGCTTCTGCGGTGTGACATCACTGACCTGATGGTGATAATCTGGCCAAAGTCCAGCTCGTAATGATTAACTTGTGCTATGAAGATGGCCGCCACGGCCTCATACAGGGCAGTGCCGTCCATGTTGATAGTAGCGCCCACTGGCAGCACAAACCGTATGATGCGCCGGTCGATGTGATTATTCTCTAAGAGGCACTTGAAGGTTATAGGCAAAGTGGCAGAGCTGGAGAAAACAGAGAATCAAAAAAACAGAAATCCAAAATAACTTCTAATCAGTTCATTAAAGCAACAGAGTCAAAATTTTAAATGATGATTTAGTATCTTTTTTTTAACCTGGAGGAAGTCGCCAGAGCTATGAGCAAGGCTTGCAGGATTCCTCGAATGTAAACGATGGGGCTCTTTTTAGTGATGAAGAAATACATGGCAGGCAGGATGAACAGGCCATGTAACACCAAACCAAACACCACGGTGATGGCATAAAAACCCAGCTTCTTCCCCATTGCAGACGGATCACTCATCTCCAGGATTTTACCGGCCACCAGGAACACAATGCCGAATGGAAAATACCTGGCAGGACGAAGTGCAGGAACAACCTAAAGTCAGACAGTTCTGTTACGGATGCACACAATAGTATTTAAGTTTTTAAAATTAAAATCCACCACGAACTGTGATATTATTACATCATTTTATTGAAAATGGCTTTCAACTATTTTTATTTCTTTACCTTCATGTAAATAGAAACTTAGTTTATTTACACTTCATTTTCAAGGGTTTTAAGCAATTTGACTTGCAGTGAAATAATTCTTAATAAATGACTTTATTCCATATATGTACCGAGTTAATTGTTTCACAATGATTTGTTGAATTAACTCACAGACGTGTTCTTAAAACAACTGAAAGTCCAAAAGTTAGTTGATTAAAATAAAAAAAAATACATGATATCAGAATATCTTTCAATTGCGTAATAACTGGAACTCTTGAGGTTTACCAAGGCTGGACCAAAAAAAAAAAAAAATTAAACAACTATGTTGATGAAAAGCTCTTTCTGGTCTCAAATGTCAGAGAATCATACAGACAGTTTAATAACTGAAGCTGCAATCAAAATATGTTGATTAAATAGTCTGATTGGATAAAAAACAGATTGAACTTGAAGCAGATGAGTCTTGTTAAAACAACATTAAAGCAAAGATCCATCCTGTTTTCTATTGATCTTTCAGACTAATGGAGAAATGGAGTAGGCCCCTCTTTACCAACCAAGCACAATGTAGCCTGCCTTATACATTTTTTTTTTGTTTGGGATGATTGGACCTTAGAGGGAAAATTGCAAGTGGATCATTGACAAAATGAAACTGGAAATGTTTGGGGGAAAAAAAGGTTTGGAGAGTATCTGCTTTTTCCCCCATTGTGTCATTTGTAAAAAATAAAGTCTGCAATAAAAGTAACAAATAAAATATGACATAAAAAATTCCTTTTTTCATCTTAAAACATTGATAAAAGTTTTATTGTGATTTGCATTTTATTCAAATCCCAAATAAAACAGTTTTTTCTCAGTTTCCCATTTGTTTGAAACAACGATAAAACTAATTCCCTCCGTATTCCTGCAGCTGCATCCTACGACAGTAGTAAACAAGTAAACCAGACATTTTTTTTTTTTACATGTTTAGAACCCTGTTATATGCTGGTGAAGATTCTCAGTCACCCACGTCTTGAAACTAGGAAACAAAGTCCAATGGATTGCTTTTTAACTTTTTTGGAAGAAACCATGTTATCTTCTTTCCTAATCCGTCGACCAGC